TTGATACAAAAGGTATTCTGGATTTTATTGCACAGTGTTTGTATAATTTAAGTTAAATTATATCCAATTATAGTGATATTATAATTAATTTAGAATAGAAACAAGGATTAGTTAAGTTCCTGACCCCTGTCTCCCCCAGCAGTGGAAAATTGGAAGACTGAATAAAAGCTTGCTGAGATTTGTCTTTAAATATGTTATGCACTTTACGGATATTAACATGAATCAATTTAAACTCCACAGGACTGGGAAAATTAAACTAATGACTTTTTATGTAATCCAAGTATATGAATGCTTTCTGGTCCAACTTTCCATTAAGGAATAAACCACAGTTTCTTGATTTCCTTCATTCAAATAGCCTCTATTGTGTGACTGTTTACAAAATGCTTGATTAAAGCCCTTATTGAAGAGGTGCTCTATTTCCATTAATACTGAAATTTATTTACTTAGTTTTACAGCTTTTGCTAGTAATATAAACATTAAGGGTTACTTTTAGCATAGGTGTTATATAAATAAGTTTTTATTCATCTACCTACATATTTTCTTACTATATTAAAATACTACAGTAAAGAATAGTGACTCATAAAAGAAATGGACATAAAATATGGGAAATATTTGTAAAAATTCTGTTTCTAAAGATTCTGGTGCTTAAATCTGTATTTGCAGTGTTTTACAGATACAGTTGGTATCTGCCAGTGTGGGGTCCAGGACTGCTCATGGATACCAAAATATACACATACTCAAGTAGTTGACCCTGTGGAACCCATATATATGAAGAGTCAGCCCTCGGCATCCATGGGTTTCACATCTCACAAATACTATATTTTTGATCATGTTTAGTTGAGGATGTGAATGAAACCTGTGGGCCAACTGTATTTATTGAAAAAAATCTACTTGTGAGTGAACTCATGCAGTTCATACGCATTGTTGTTCAAGGGTCAACTGTAATCCTAGTGTTAAATGATAAACTAAATAAAAAGAGGATTAATTACAAAAAATTAAATAAATCAAATCTATAAAACATATTATACAACATTTTAACCATCAAATAAACTTTTTAACATCTATGATAATGACTTTATTGCTTTAATGCCTTTGTACCAATTCATAGCTAAGGTCTTAATGTGAGGATTAGCATTTACATTATTTTGTGGGTAAAATATGTAACAACGACATTAAAGGAAGCTCCAAAGTAAAAACTAGCCTTTCTTGGTCTAATGAAGGAATTGAGTGAATGAATATAATTGTCTGTGAGAAGAGCAACCAAGTCAGAGGGAACAAAAAGTGCAAAGGTCATAATCCCTAATGTTTTTATTGAAACCTCAGCAAACCTCATTAAAATATTATAAAAATGAAAACCACACCACAAGGGTAATAAAAATTATAATATAAGCATTTAATAAATACATAAAATTATGCTAATAATTCACTGGCAGTTAAGCATACATTTTAGAAAAAGAAAAAATTTTGACAATCAAATAAATTGTCAAAAGACTAGAAAGATCGTTCTTGGCAAGGGTGGTTTAAATTTGGCATTGTCATATGCTATCAGTCTAAGTCTATGTTGATATATTTTTATAGAAAATAATTTGGTGATATGCATTAAAATACATAAAAGATCAAATACTTTTTGACAGAAAGTTCACCTTTAGGAAGCCACAGTAAAGCAATAATTTGAGATGGGCACAACAAACTTTTATGTACAAAGATATGTACTACAGTTTAATTAGTAATGTGAAAGTACGGAAGTTTTAAACAAACCAACAACAAATAATAATTTTCGTGAATTGTTAATTTTTGTGTGTGTCAAGCACTTTGATTAGTGCTGTGTATGGATTATCTTGTTTATTTCTCAGTTCACATGATGTGTAATTAGTGTTTATTTGTTAGTGTACCTAACACTGTGTTTGTAATAGACCAGATTTTCCTTGGTGGAACTCACCTGTCATGGTGTTTGGAAGTCATGTGATTTAGGAAAATTGAGCATATTTATGTGTTTTGGAAGGTACCCTGACTGTCTTAAGCCACTCAGTGAGTCTCTGATTGGTTAGAGATGTGCTTGTCACCTTCATCTTTTGGCCTAGACAAGAACATCCCAGAACTTTTGATTACTAATTGAGATGGAAACTCTCTTTTTCCCTTAGCTTTTACACTTGTTTGTCTCTGGCTTTTTTTGTTCTTTCTTACTCTTTGACTCTCTTGTTCTTTCTTCTCTTGCTCTTTCACTGTCTCTGAGCACTTAGAAAATATGCATCTTGGGAATATTTTGTAAAATGTTCTAGAATAAACAGATATTAATTTTTATAAAAAACATTAAAAGTTGTTTATTATTTTTATATATTATTTATTTATATTTATATATTATTTATTTTCCATCAGATACCTATTCCAGGAAAAGTTGTCGTACTACTGGGGGAGAAAAGGAAAGCAAATAAAAAAAAAAAGCAAGGGGGCAAACAAAAAATTCCTAACTCTCACTCCATATACTTCATTATATGATAGAAACACAAAAAAATTAATAGGAAAAATGGGCAAAAGGCAAATAGGACACAAAAGAAACAAATGCAAGTGAAAAACAATATTATAAATCAGTTTTTTATGTTATCATTTAATTTTTCAATTGAATTAATATCAGTTTAAAAAACCATGATATAAATTGTATGTGTAGTACAATTTCAGTTTTAGAGAAAGACTGGTTAGAAGATGTTTAAATATTATGTTTTAGTTTATCTTAATATAGATGATTTTTATTTTCTTTTTATAATTTTCTATATTTCTAAGTTTTCTATATTTCTAAACATATATGTATATATTTTCACTTTTGGAAATATTGCTTTTGGAAAAATTGTCATCCCTTTCTCTAGTCAGATTTATTTTCTTTTTCAAATTCCTATTCCATTAAAAAAAGTTTCTCTCTTCCTGGTAATAGTTTCACTCTGCAATTATTCATTCATTCATATATTATATTAGATGAAATATATATCATTCATTAACTCAGGTGAATTTTTTAAATGGGGCCAGTTGTCACAACACTCGATCTATCTTGGTGCTTATACTATTTCCCACAAAAGGCACTTAATATTTGAGACCTCAGAGTTTTAAAGAGTTAATCTTAAAAAAGAACAAAGACTTTACAATAACCCACTTAGACTGAAATATATCATAACCAAAGTTTCATGAAAAGTGACTGTATTTTCCACTGATTTCAGCAAAAAGAGTGAATGACTTGATAATTGGTCTCTTAGTTTTTCTCATTAGGAATATTTCCTGCTAGTGACAGCTTCAAAGCACTGCTAAAAGTTTCATGTCAAATGTGGAGGAAAGAACTGACTGAATTTGTTTTTAAATTTGTAAATTTAAAATTTTTATGTATTCTGAAAGAGTTTGTGTTGTCTTATCCACTATCACTTTTTTTCATTACCATACTGAGAGCTGAGAGTGAAGAACTTTGAATGCACATGGAAAAATAACAGATGATGTGAATTCTTGGCCCTAATATATTTGGGGCTAGAAAAACCCAGGGGCAAAGTTGTCTTTGTTTTAAGGACCTTTCTAGTTTTACATCTTACAAATATGAATGTTTTGAGTCTGTTTCTATTTTTTATTAACCATCTAACAAATGTATACAAATATCTAAAAGGATTGCTTATCTCAACTCCTCACTTCCAGATCTCTTCAGAGCCATATCGGCTACATTACCTTCCTAAAACACCTATCTTACTGCACTATTTCCCTTTCCTATCATACTTCTGCACTTTTAAGGTAAAATCCAAATTTTATAGCGTGGCATTTAGGAGATTTCCTCATGTGGCCCCACTGTATCACTAAAGTTTTATGCAAAACAGTCTCCTATAGGCATCGTAATTTCAAATCATATATACCAAGTAATTGCCTCTTCTTGAAGGTGGCATGTCCCTTCTTATTCCTTTGCCTTTGCATTTGATATTCCCTCTGCCAAATGTGGCCTTCCCCTGCCTTTGCAGGTAATGTTCTTCTCTTTGCCAAATGTGGCCTTTCCCAACATCCTCCCTAAACAGCTTTTTGTGAACTGAAGGTTTACAGGTTTCATCTTTTTTAAGAAGACTTTCCTGAACCTTCTCTATGTTTCTGCAGCAGCTGACCTTGCCATTAACATAGTCCTTATTACATTAACATGTGTGAAGGAGGATGTAGACTTATTTTCCTCTTACTAGTGACTAACATGATTGGGGATTGGGTATTCAATAGGTGTCCAGTGAATATTGGTTTAATTAACTGAATTACTTTTCCAATTTTACTTTCCTTAGAATGCAGGAGTATAGTTATGACTATATGTATGCCACTGCGTCAGTGAGAAGACCAGAACACACAGACAATGCTTTCCACAAGCCATTTAGGACAATCATCCCAACTCACCTTGTTTGTACCCTTTGTAGATTGGGATGAAGACATCTGAGAGGATGTTTTAAAGACATGCTAAGGCATTTGGAATTTGTCCATTTGGTAACATGGCCAGATTACTTGTTAGAGAAATCATGACTAGCTAAGGATAGATAGGTGGGGGTGTAGGCTGGGAGAAAAAAGCCAAATGGAGTCTGTCATATTAAGTAAAATTGAATTTATTCTAATTTGACTACATGTAGGTGGTAAGGAAAAAAAGAGGGATAAATAATGCCGGGTTTCTAGCTTGATCAATTAGAGTGAGGATTGCACTATTTACTTGATTAAAGTCACAAGACAAATAAATAAATGGAAAAAAGAAAAGAAGAAGAAAACAAAAACATCAGAATCAAAGGTCTGATTTTGTATATTTTGAATTAAGGAGCCTGTAGGAGATAAAAAATGAATATTTAGGAAAACATTTTTCAAATTAGATTGAAATATTGTTAAATTCTTGGACTTAAGTAAAAAAGAGAAATATGATATTGAAAACACTTTAAGATCATAAAAATTGTGATCTCTACTTCATATGATAACAAGTAGACATACAATTTGGCCTCACTAGTTTGTTTAGCTTGGTTTTATTGTACATGGAATATTTAAAGATATAAATGTTACATTAACAAATTGAAACTTCTAGTCATATTTCAGTGTTAATAATGTTTTTCATAAACTAGTACTGTTGGAGAAAAATGAAAGAAATGGTTGGTTTCATTTAATTTCACATACATCTTCAAATTGCATGAGAGTGTACGATGGCAAATAGCATCAAATTGACTGTATTATGTTCACACTAAAATTTTAAGAACCATTTGAATTTGAAATCAGGATTTTATATTTTAAAATAAAAATGTTCAAAAGAGCAGCATATAAGCCCTTCTCATTTTTGAAAGAATATTCAAAATGTTCTTCCTATGAAAAAGCTAGTCATATTAGACATAGAATAATAGATCCAAATTAGAGTATGTGTCATTTTCCTGCAAGAAGAAAGACAGAAGTAGGAACAAGTTCATTCTTGTTTTTTGATGTGGATATTTTTGTGCTCTTCTTTATTCTGTCACATCACATAAAATATTCTAGTTCAAAAAGTATTTCCTACAGCAAAACTGGATTTTAGTCAGTCTGAGATAGAAATAAACTATAGGATACTAAGTTAAATTGACTATTTCAAGGAAAATATTTACTTTTGTAAAATTTTGGAATGGGATTCATTGAATAGTTTGGTTATGTGTCTTGGATAATTTCTCACTAAATTCTGTTCATAAGACCAATATTTGCCACAAGATAAATAGAAAAAATATTAATACTATTGTCCTAAAAAAGAACTATTATTGCTCCTCCTTTTCTCTCCTCTCACCTGAGACAAGCAAACAAGAAAAATATGATCTGGTAAATCACACTAGAAATTATGACATAGTTTCACAGTTACCTTTTAGCAAAGTGTCATGTTTAAATTTTCCTGTCCAGAATGAACTCACATATTTCTCAAGCTGGAAATAAAGCTGTGATAATGCAACCTTTACATTTTGCAGAAAGATAAAATGAATTGTATCAGTCATACATGCTAAGATCCAGTAAATGCTAAGAGAATACCATATGATTTAATAAGTAATAGCATTACTGGGTAGACAAACATTATTTTTCACTAAATATCTATAAATGTTCTTAAAATACACTGTGCTAATATTTTAATTCAAATTTTAAAATTGTTGCCTTTTGTTGTAGATGTAGATGTTGTTGATGATCTGCCTATAACCTCTTTTAGCATTGCAGTTGAAATTGGCAGAATTTCCAATGCCAATCCTTGCATTTCTTTACTTAAGGAATGCTTTGGCCACCAGACACCATTTCACCAATCAAAGCAGGCTGGAAGTGCCAGGGAATTAATGCCCCTGGGGGCAGCCCTCAGCTAATGACTAATGAGAGTTGGTATATAAATATCCTAGCTCTAATTTTTAGGTCAGATACATCTAAGGGGTGTCTTCTATATTGAATGTCTGATTTTCCCCAGCCAGATTAAGATGCATTTGTCAACAGTTTTAATGGGGCAGCTAATGTTCCTTGTATTGATAAGATGTCTTCAACTCCTTGTCTCACTTCCTTTCTCCCCTGCTAGTGTTTCCTCGCATCATCTCCCAGATAGACTTCTTACACTTGAATTATTACCTCAGGGTTTCCATCTGGGGCAACACAAACTAAAATCCTTTCTTTCTTTCTCTCTAAAGTTATGTTAGAAAATGGAAAAGAATCGAGTGAACAAATAGATAAATGGGCTTCTAAAGAAGATTGTGGCTGAGGTGGGAAAATATAGCTTTCAGAATATTCAGATGGCTTAGATGCAAACACAAAGACAGGGACAAAATATTAATAACATGGAGATCTGTCTATTATTTGAGAAAGCAAAAACTATGGTCTGGCATCACCAATGTTCATATCAAGGTGCTTGTATCAAACTTATGGTAGGAAATAGGACAAAAGACAAAAGAGTTATATGCATTTCCCATTTTGAATAAAACAAAAAGAGCTCTTTGGGTGTTTTGGCAAGGACAGAAGATACTATTCAGTGAATTTTTCTACTATTTGAATTTATGTCAGAGGTACATTTGAAATGACCAGATTAAGGGAAGACATAATTTGTGCTTTTGTGGCTATCTGGGAGGACTTTTGTATTTTGTCTGTTGGGATGAAAATTTTAAAGTTTACTTAACCAATTGATATGTTTGTTTTAGTTATGGCAAGATAATGAGTAGAAGAATAAGCTATCTAAATGCCTTCCCATAGCCATGGAAGTGGAATGAAAATGAAAATAAATCAGTGCTTGCTAAAATTGTTTCACCTTCTTAATCATCATGAACAGGGTATGCTCTTGGTTAGTCTAATTAGGAAATATGTGAAAGATAGCTGGGGCTGGTGGTACAGCTTGAGGGAGAAAGGCATACATTGTCAACCATCGCTGTGCTTTAGTAGTAGCATATAATGAGTTAAAAAGTTGAGATGTGCACCATCTGGGGGATGGTCATGCTGGAGACTCAGACTTGTGGGGGGAGGGGGGAAAGGGCATTTATTGAAACCTTAAAATCTGTACCCCCATCATATGCCGAAATAAAGAAAAAAAAGTTAACACATTATCTCATAATCTTGCTACTTGTCAATACTAAAAATCCATAACACCTTTTTCAAAAAAGTGACATGTTTTATCCTTGCTTTCCTAGTATTTAGTAATTTTCTTGAACTTTCACAAGAAACATAATTAGAATTGAGAGGTACTATAACCTCAAAATTAAAATGAACAAATGTAATTATTGATTAATTCTACTAAGTACCATTTTAATTTTATTTTTAGTTATATGTGATTCCATCTGATATACAGAGGAGGGAAAGTAGTATAAGAAGACATCTGATGGCAACTGTATGATAGAAGCTATATAAAGTCAAGCGTCTATATATCCTTTCAAGTATATTTGAGCATACCCAGGTAAGAATAAATGATTGTTTATATACTCTCCACCACTTCCAAGAAAAGATTGGAAACTATAAAAATGCTTTTATTTTATGATGAATTAAAAAATATAGTCTTATTGTATAAAATGATAAAATACAGAAAAGTAAAATAAAATTGAAAGCTTATTTTATGATGAATTAAAAAATATAGTCTTTTTATGATGAATTATTTTATTTTATGATGAATTAAAAAATATAGTCTTATTGTATAAAATGATAAAATACAGAAAAGTAAAATAAAATTGAAAGCACCAATGAGCCTATTTTCTGAAAATAAAACCTCTGCCATCATTTCCCTCTATGTCATTTTATGTCTGTTTTGTTGGTTTTTCTTTTTTAAAAAAAGTTGAAATAATATTATATGTATTCTTTGTTGATTTTATTTGTTACTTTTGTAACTAATTTTGTTCTATTCTTTGAGAGTATGAATTAATGTTTTGTATTTTTCATTGTATCGATTACTATATAGTATTAGTGATTTAAAATATTTTTAGGTTGTATGTATTTGTTATTCAGTGAAGATCCTTATAGATAAAATTATCTATATATCACTCACTTTGCATTAGTAGAATTACTAAAATTAGCATCCCTGGTTCAATGACAATGATTTTTTAAAGACTTTTTTTCTTTTTGCTGAGTTTACCCTCAGAAGGTGGTAATAAGTTAAAGTTTTGATTATCCAGTTTCAAAAATGCTTGTTGAATAACTGCTAATATTTTGTCGTTAAAAAAATTCCCCAGGCTGGGCGCGGTGGCTCACGCCTATAATCCTAGCACTCTGGGAGACTGAGGCGGGCGGATTGCTCAAGGTCAGGAGTTGGAGACCAGCCTGAGCAAGAATGAGACCCCGTTTCTACTAAAAATAGAAATTAATTGGACAACTAAAAATATATAGAAAATATTATCTGGGCATGGTGGTGCATGCCTGTAGTCCCAGCTACCTGGGAGGCTAAGGCAGAAGGATTGCTTGAGCCCAGGAGTTTGAGGTTGCTATGAGCTAGGCTGATGCCACGGCACTCTAGCCCAGGCAAGAGAGTGAGACTCTGTCTAAAAAATAAAATTCCCCTAACAAAATCTAGTTTGATTTGAAGAAAAAATTCAAAATCAAGTTAAAATTCTAAATTTTGATTGCAAGCAGTGGCTTCCCCTACTCACAAATACTCAGCAAATATATTCCCTTACATAACTAAGCCTAGAAGAAAAGTAAATATTTTGTATGTATAATTTTGCCACACTGTTTAAGAATGCTTCATTTATAAATGATAGCAAGTATACATTTATTCAATTAATATTTGTAGAAAACTTACTGCACTAAGCTTAAGTGCTGTGATTAGTTGAATGATGGTAGTGGTGATGATGGACATTCCAAATAGGACAGTGAAGAAATAGTTTCTTGTCACTTCTAACTTTCAATAAAAGATGACAAGATAAAAAACAGACTTCAGTTCCTTAGATATAAGTAGGATGTAATAATTTTCAAGAAAGAATTAAAAGGAAATGACAGTTGGTGATGATGACATTACCAGCTTTGGAAACTGAGGAAATCTTCACAAACAAGAGACCACTTGAGTTGTGCTTTTAAGAGTTTGTAGAACTTTAGCAGGTATTTACATGAAGAGCCAACCTGGGGCAAAAGCGGATGGTTGGCAAAACATATGGGATGTTCAGGAAGTTGGAAAGATAGGGTAGTTATAGCAGAGTAGTGGGAAATATGTTCTGTGATTTGGATTTTTATTTGTATTTCATCATTATACAGAGAAGAAAGATTATAGGGGAATTGGATGATCTATGTTCTCCTGTAAGAAGCTTAATGTAGAAGTGATATGTGTGTTAGACTAATGAAGAAAAGAGCAGTCTAAAGGATGGCAGAATAATTTGTAGGCTTTTTTTTTTTTCATTTTGATCAACATTTGCTGAACACTTGCTATTTGCCAGGCACTAAGCTAGGAACTATAGGAAAAAAAAAAGGTGAAAACATATTTCCTACCCTGAGGAGTTTATAGTGTAGTGGATGAAACAGGCATGACAAACAAATGAATATAATATACATGACGGTCCAACAATAGAATCATATTAAGGAAAGAGTAGTGGGTAATTAATTACATTGGGATGCAAGTATTGAGTTATCAATAGAGCAGGTTTTTCTAAAGACTCTAGGTCACCCAAGAAAGAAAGTTTCTAAATTTTGTAAGAATTCATCAAGAAACAGTGGGGGCTTTACCTATAGTGAGATGTATAAATAGAAAACAAGGTGTGGATAGATGAGATTTGGTAATGGTAGAAGTAGTGGGGGGTTAAGGGAAAGTTGTTTTTTTTTTTTTTTTCACTTAGGCAAGTGGGGCATGTTGATGGCATTAACAAAAAGGGGAAAATAGAGCAAACTGGAATTTTTGTGTTGTTAAGTTAGTTTAGTTTTGAACATGGAGAATTTTTCTGTCCTCTTTCACTGTGCTTTGCTCAAGCCTTCACTAGAGTACTCATAGCATTTTAAAATTTCATTGCAATTCCTTATGTAATTGAGGATTGATTTATTATTCAAAATGACTTGAGTTCTTCTAAAATGAAAGTACAAGTGTAATAAGAGTAAAAATAACTTACACCAAACAAAACATATTAAATATGAAGTAAAGAGTTGACTGAATTCATAACCACTGTATATATAATTTAGTTTTAGACTTTCCAGCAGTCACAAAAGTGGATATATGTTCTTTCTCTGAAAGCTTAGATAAATTTATTATGAGTCTTAATGTAATAGATAGGAGAAGTGTCCTTACCTCTTAGATGTACCTTATATATTACATTGTTAAAAAGAAAGGGAACTTTGTTAATACATAGCCCTAGTAGTAGGTTTGTAGAAGTTCAGAATTCTTCTTCAGGATGCCATTCCTGACTTTTGGAATTTGGACCAGATCCTTCTCCTCTGTGCCATATACCTTAACACCACATATATTCCTTTGCCATAACACATGGTGTGGGTTTGTCTATCATCCCCTGAGACTATAAGATTCTTGAGGATTGAGTCATCATGTGTAATTATAGACATAAATTTAAATAAAACTCACTACATTTTTATAGAGGATACTCCATAAATATTGCTTATATGCAAAATTGAATCTATTTCCATGGCTTTGTCTTAATTATCATTAACATAGCCTAGAAAGTGTTGTGTGCTCCCTATTAGTTTTCTCTTTCTGTGTAATGAATCACTCCAAAATATAACCAGCTTAAAACAGTATTATCTCAGTTTTTGTGCTCCAGGAATCTGGGGACAGCTTAGCTGGTGCATCTGTCTCTGGGTTTCTTATGATACTGCAGTCAAGCTGTGGGCTGGAGCTACAGTCATTCACAGTTCAGCTGGGGCTGAAGGGTTTACTTCCAGACTCAGCCTCCCCACAGGGCTGCCTCATGATATGGAAGCTGGCTTCCCCCTGGACAAGTAATCCAAGAAGACAAAAGTGAATGCCCATGATGGAAGCCACATTCTTTTATAACCAAATCTGGGAAGTGCTATCCCATCTGTAGTGAGTTGAATGGTGGTTTCCAAAAGGATATGTTCAAGTCCTAACTTGTACTACTTGTGAATACAACGTTATTGGGAAAAGGGGTCTTTGCAGTCATAATTAAGGATCTTTAGGTGTGACCATCCTGGATTAACCAGATGAACTCTAAATCCAAATACACGTATCCTTAAGAGATATACGCGGAGAAGACCCTGTGAAGACAGAATCAGGGACTGGTATGATGTAGCCACAAGCCAAGGAGGAGTCACCAGAATCTGGTAGAGGTGAGGAACAAAATCTCCCCTACAGCCTGGGGAGGAAGAGCAGCCTTCCTAACACCTGGATTTCAGACTTGCGGCTTCCAGAACTGTGAGAGAATAAATTTCTGTCCTTTTAAGCCTCCCAGGTATCTGTGCTCATTTATTATGGCAGCCACAGGAAACTAATATGCCACTATTTCTGTAGTCCTCTGTGTCTTAGAAGTGAGTCACTTGGTCTATCTCACATTCAAGTGCAGGGGAATCACAAAAGGGCATGCATGAATACCAGCAGGCAGAAAGCTTTGAAAGCCATCTTAGAGGATACCTATTCCATCTAATTTCTGGATACCCCAATTTGTATGCTGTATCTGCACAAGTGGACCAAACTCAACAGGTCAGGTATTAAAGTCACGATCTCACATTCTTGAAAATCAGAATCTTTCATTTGTATTTCCTACTTGTCTGATTAAAATTACGATTCACTAAGATAGTCAAATTGGAAAATTTAGAGTCAAATGAAATTTCTTCTTTTTTAATATCTACAATCTTTCATTGATGTGATATAGTGATGTGATACATGTGATAATCTTTTTCATTCTGTTCTTTAAATTTTTGTCATAATCTTTTTATTTTCAATCACACTCCCACTGGTTAAGAGTCATTCATGATCGCTCTACAAAAGTAGAATATTCCCCGAGTGGTGAAACTGTTTCTGACCTTTTTCTCTTTTAACTTTCTCTGTAGAGTGACTTTTGAAAACCCAAACAAGATTATGTCATTCCCTTTATTTAGCATTCTCCATTGGTTCTCCTGTGTCTGGCCAAATAAAAATTAATTAGCAGAAAATAGCAGACCCTTGTGATTTGACTCTCAACTTCCTAAAATTCAAGTTTCATCTTTACATATTTTTAATGCAGATCTAAAGAATTATATAAAATTTTAGAAATATATTATTTTCTCTCATTTTTGCTTATCTTTGCCTATAATTCCCTTTTCCCATTAATAGAATAGGTATTTAGTTTTTTTAATATCCAGAGTACCTAGCAGAATATTATAATATTAATGACCAGTACAGAATAGGTTTTCATTTGCTATAAACTAATGTCAAGGATGAACAACTTATAAAAAGAAGAGGACTAAAACTCAATAAAATTGCTAAACTTATAGACTATCCTAAAATTGAAACGAATGAAAGAGAAAGGAATTTAAGGGTGG